ACGGTATCGAGGCCGGTGTTGTTCCTGAAGAGATTTTCGGGAAGGGATTCACCAGTGAAATTGTTCTGGGACAGGTTGATGAACTGGAGTTTTCCCAATTTGGAAAATAGATCCTCAGGAAGTGTTTCAAGTCTGTTCAAGTGAAGATCGAGGTTCACGAGGTTCTCCAGTTTGTCAAAGCTTTTCGGTTTTACTTCAATGATTTCATTCTTCCAAATGTTCAAGAGCGTGAGCTTCGGTAATTTATCGAATGCCGGGGGTGCGATTACCTCCAGGTGATTGCCACCGAGTTCGATGGACTTGAGATGAGGAAGATCGAGGAAATCATGTGGCAATTCATGGAGATTGTTCTCCCGGAGATTCAGGAGTGTCAGGTTCTTCATGTCGTGGAGGAGATCCTCGGTGACGTTTTTCAAACCGTTGCTGGAGAGGGTCAGTCTCTTCACGTTCTTGAAGTTGGCGAATGTATTTCTGGACAACGAGAGCGTTAAGTCACCGATTGATTGGAATATCAAGTCCTCGATGTTATCAGCAACGATTTGGTTGGCTATTGCTCCCAGTTTCTCTCGCTCTGGCAATTTGCATTTTCGGAAGGATATCGAGTTCACCTGGAGGATCTGCTGGATCTTTCCTAGGTGAAATTCCGTCCAATTCGGGGAATTGTAGCACTCGATTCTGACCCACTCCTCTGGCTTGAAGTGAACTGTGAAGGCTGAATTTAAATCGCTTGTCTCGCAGTGCACCTGATAGGTGTTATCTGGCAGCTCCTGGCAGCTTCCACATCCTGGACCCTTGGGACACTGGAACGACATCACCTGGGATAATAGGCCCACCATCACGCACCATTGGAGACGATACATGATCTCTCGAAGATGAAAATCTATTTCTAAAACGAACAGAGGGATTCGTTAGTTGCGAAAGTAGAACACAGTTCTTCACTCTTTCCACCAATTTCTACGAATCTATGGGAGATGACGAAAATTTTGCCACTACCTTTTTTGTAGCTCTGGATGAGTACTATTAAAAAGGTTTAGATGAAAATTTTGATATCTGTCTTGAATTCGGAAATATTCAAGGAAAACTGACCAAGTGACGAGTGGGGTCGAACGAGTCGAGTCGATTCTAGTCAACCATTTTTTAGGTATATCTTCAAATCTGAGAGAGATAGCAAAAATATTGTAATTTCCTTTTTTGTAGGACTCAATACGCTCTATAAAAAAGGTCTTAACAAAAAAATTGATATCAGCCCCGATGTCCGAGATATCCATGCAAAATTGAAGACGAAAAATCGAGAATCGTTTCATCATTTCGCTATTGGAATTTATAAATAAAAAAATGCCTGTCCATTAAAAAAAATCTGTCGAAATTCTGATTTGTGGTAGAATTTATAGATTTCTCTGAGGATTCTTTGAATATTTCCAGATGAATACAAGATAATTTCTTTAGAATTTGACTTTTTCCATAATTACTTCCACAATCATTCCGCAAAATTTCTCACCGCAAATATTCTCACCGTCAATATCCGGGTCATTAACCTTTCCCTTTACCTCGACGCGTATGGAGAGAGGTCTCACGCTATTTGAACGTAAAATATCCTGTCGTATTTTACAATCCGCAACACGTGTTCGCAATTGAACAACCGGTAATTTCATTGAAATGCAAATGGTTGGGGAAGCCCACCTGTTCTCAACACACCTCACGTGGAAATAATTCCACGAAGTGGAAATTAATCGCTCCTAATTCTAAACTATTTAATTAAAAAAAACCATCACCTGCGCCGAATTGACGAGATGTCATAATAAAATAGATAATAGAAAATAGAATAATAAAATAAAATAGAGACGACATTCGATGGGATTTACATAATTGAATAAAATATCTTTATGTGCGGGAATTTCATCAGGCGATAATTAATCTTCTAATTGGGAAGAAATAGAATGGAATATTGAGGAATGAAACACGCATAATCATGGCTCCAAAAAATTACTGCAAATAGCGGAATTACGTTTGTAACCAGGAAAATGTCGGGATTATGTTCAGAGAAAATTATGTAATCGGATTGAATGAAAGAGGGGAATTATGTGAATTGAGAAATACTCTCTTGAGAGCACTTGAATCTGTGGAGAGGCGTTACTGCACCATTGTATCACAATTATCAGTGGAAATGAAAGATATATTAAAAACATCTGCGCAGTTCTATCTTCTTTATCACCTACTCCACCATGAACACTTGAATTTCCTCTGGCAAAGGATTTTTTATTTCGCTCGAGCAAAAATTCAGAGATTATAGTTTAAGATCAATCGATAATCCAACTGATAATTATCCGTTTCCGGAGAGAATTAATGTGCGATGATTTGTGTAATTCGAGTCAGAATGTAAAACACTGAAGATTCAAAACTCCATTTGTTTATTATTATTTTTCATTGAGTGATAAAAAGGTTAAAGTTAAAGTCGGATTCATTCTCACTTCAGTTTTTCATGGCTATCTCAGAATCCGAGAAAGATAGCGAAAATTCTCTGAGAATCTTTTTTATAGAAAAGATCAAAACCTACAAAAAAGTTTATGACAAATTTTCCGCTATCTCTCTTAGATCCCGAGATATTTTGCAAAAAATCCAGTATTAACAAAATCAACTTGATATCCTCAACTTTTTCGTTTCTCTGGTTTTCTAGGATTATCTCAGAATCTGAGACCCATACCGAAATAACTGACAAGACCTTTTTTGTAGAAAAAATAGAGATCTATAAAAAAGGTTCTACAAAAATCTAGCTGACACTCTTAGATTCCGAAATAACCCTCTAAAATCTAACTATTATCTAAAATCACTCGTTCCCCTTCACCTTTCGCAATAAATTCTACTCCTCAAAATATTTCCCTTTGAATTACGACTCCGAGTCGACGAAAAATTGCCATTAAAAAACGGAACCAAAACCTCAATGATTACAGGTTAATTCTCCAATCAATCGATTTGTGAATCTCATTCCGAGACAAATTATCACTGGAAACACGCGACAGATAGCGAATATCGAAAGCCGAATGAAAACATTGTGACGTAATTCCCAAACTCCAACATTCACTTGTGATTACTCACCAGTTATTCAACCCGTTCCCTCACTTCATCCAATTATCGGTGATAATTAATAAGTTATGATTCGAAAGCTTATTCCAGGGGAACAATTCGCACTAACACTACATCAATTATCAGATTAATCTCAAGTGGTGTGTTGAAATAATAAGAAACTTCGTTAAAATCGTGTGAAAACATCAGTGCCTCAAGGCAGACTGAACTGAACTGAAATTAAATCGAATTCAAACCGAACGCCCGGTGAAGGCCTTCCCTCCCCCTCCGCGGCTTTTCTCTCCCCTCCAGACCCCTCCGCCCTCGACCAACCAATGGGGTGAGGGGCCCAATTTCGAGGGTGGGGAAATTTACAGTTATGGTTTTTCCCTGGGAAAATTTAAAGTGAAAGAGGAGTAGGAAAATTCAGAGGAGGAAATCCTGATGGAGAATTTTGGAGATTTCGTTTTACGAAAATATTGGTTTTGTAATTTATTGATAGATTTTTTCCTGGGAAAGGGGAAATTGAAAGGGAAAAGGGGGAATTTTGAGGAGAAATTTCTGAAGTAGAATTGTTGCTAATTTGTTTTTCGATAGAAATTTTATTTCTGAAATTTACGGTTAAATATATTTCCCCGAAAAATCAAAATCAAAATGAGGAAGGGAAATTCTCGGGGGAAGTACCCCTGTACTATTAATATTATAAATTAATATTATAGTTTTTCATTAAATAACGATATAAACTATATAAACAAATACCTTCTAGCAATCACAAATGTAAAAAATTATTGACAATTCGATATTAAAAATCGATAACCAATCGATGGTGAATCGATGTCTGAAATATTCTGTCGAACTCTCATTCATTGAAAAACGAAAAAGTGTAGAGAATCATTTTTTAAAATCCATAATGACTCTAAAAAAAAACAAAATGTCAATTCTCCACAACAAATAAAACGATTGACAACATTGAAAATTCAAATCGTTATCACAACAGTTGGCTTCCCCCTTCTCGATTCTTCTCTCGGAAAATATCAGCTAATATTAAAATTTGTCATCTCCATTTTTACTGATTTACGATTAAAATCCCGTGAATTCGAGAGATTAAGATCGCCCTCCCCCCGATAGTAGACACATAGTGATAAGACCCGGTATATGATCAAAATACATATACCAAGGAGATGAAAATTAAATAAAAAAAAAAAGCCGTGCCCTGATTCCAATTCTGAGAATATCGGTATTTTCCCCTGAATAAAAAACCGTACGACAATTTTTTCAAGGAACGATTGAAGAAAAATTCTCTCTGCGAAATTTCCACGAGTTTTTCAATCAAAAAAATAATACCGGGAAAAATTCCCCGAATTTTCGATTTAACCGAAAATCTAGAAAAATCCTGTTCAAACCGATTATTCGCAATTTACGTCGTAACCTTTGAAGATCCACGATGTACGATAAATATTGCCGATCACGTATCAATTTCTTATC